GGGTCCCGTCCCCCCCTCCCCGCTGCTCCCCCGGGTCCCGTCGGAGCTGGGGGGGACCCGGGCAGGTGCCGAGCTGTCGCCGCCGCGTCCCCTTCCCGCTCCTCGCGGAGTTCAGCGACAAGTTTGTGCATAAATGGCACCGGCGAAACAACCCCTGGCTTTGGGATTGGGAGGGGGGAGGAGGAGGGTGAGGGGGTGTTGTTGTTCCCCTCCCCCCCCAGCCCTCCCGGCGACGAGCAGAAGTGCAAAGAAGAGTTCCCGAAAAGCGGCACCTCACCACGGCGTTTGGAACCCGCAAAGCTCCAGTTAACCGCAATGAAACGATTCTATTTTATTTAAAAAAATAGCTCCTAGCACAGACCATTATTACAGGAATGTTGTAGGTCCTTCCCTTCCCGGAGCAACTTTTGTCCCTCAACCTGTTTGACAAATGTTCATTAATTCCCTTCCAACAGGTAAGTGCAGTACGGACCTATTTGACAGATAGGTTCATGGAAACAAAGAGCACTGAAGTGACATTTCCAACACCACAAATCTCGGCGAGCAGGACATTTATTTATTGTGTCAGGCAGATGCTCATGCTGAATTATGAAAGAAGTTATCTGGAGTTTAGTGATGCATCTGTCCGGGGATACAGGAAACCTTTAGCTGCAGGCTTGGCCGTGGGAAAGGAGCATCTCTGGGTGTGGACTCTCCTGGTCCATAAGTGGGACTAGCCTTGCACACACCCGTCTCCCCAGCATGTCTTCCCTAAGAGCGTGCCAAACCCCGCTGCTCGCTCCCTTCTAGAGATGCCCGTGCCCAGAAAGGGCCATCCCAAGCCAGGATACGTATGAATCCAATTGCAGGACTAGGCGGAAGTTGGTATTGGATGCTAATGATACCAGAAATTGCAAAGCAAGCTCATTAGTTTTCTTAGACGTGTATTCTTTCCTTATATGCTGCTCAATAATTGAATGAACTCTATCAAAATCTAGTCAACTTCAAAAAAAAAAAAAAAAAAGCTTAAGCAGTTTCAGACCCTATTCCCATGCTTCCAACACTGGCCAATTTTTGTGGGTTTGCAACCACATTTTCCCTTTTTTTTTCTTTTGGCAAATATTTTCATTCCAGGGTTGCTGTGGGAAGGACCCCCCGCCCAAAGCCACCAGTAGTAAAACTGAGCAAAAGGGCCAACTGCTGTCAAATGCAGAACGTAAACAGTGGAAAACTAACTAGAGGCAGCATTTTCTTATGTCTTTTTTTTTGCATAATTACTTGAGACACTTTTTGTAGTAATAATACTTTTAAGATAGGCAGATAGGTGTCATTCTTAATTCTTTTCCCGTTGATGGTGTCTCTTTAATGCGATTAAGAACCACTAATGAGCTGATTCACCAGCATCATGTTTTCTGCTCCTAGTGCACTGTGGGGCTTCATTTCTGCTCCCGGCTTGGCTATCTTGTAATTTTCTTTTTTTATCTTCCAGAAGATAAGTTTCCTTTCTACGTGTAATTAATTACAGGCTAAAGTTTATTTTAAGGAGACTTAATACAAGCCAGGGGACTGATTGTCGTTTGCACTTGAGCCTCATTGCATGGCTCCGTAACATGGTGGAGTGTGAAAGTGAGTAAATATAAATGGAATTCACAGTGGCTTACTTTGCACCCTGTGACTCTGATAAAGGAGCCTCACATTTAATAAGCATTTGGTGCCTGGTATTCTTGTTCTCTTTCTTGACTTCTTCATTTCACAATAACGCAACTTAAAAAGCTATGTAGGAAGCACCAGAAAATCCATGATAACCCACTTGTAAGGAGAAAATGATGAGCATGGTGAACTAAAAAGGGAGGAGGAGAAAAACATGGAAAGGTTGCCAAGATGCAACCTGGAGGAGAATAACTCCAAATTTTGTAGAAAATGGGAGATTCCAGATCACAACAATGGTATAATTTTAATTTCCTGAAAAGGTATCTTTGGGCTAGGTTTTTAACATGCTAGGGATGCAGAAGACCCATCTAGATGCCTCTTGGCATTTTCAGTACCACCTGGACACAAACTGTCTGAATCGGCATTATAGATAGCTGAACTACGTATACTTTAGCTCCTGAGGCTCGTGAGGTTCTCAGAAAATTAATTTGACTTGTATAGCCATAATCAATAAGGGTAAGGGTTACGATGCTATCCCTTATAGCCTGTCATTTGTTTTGCCACCATGTTATTGCTGGTATTCAAAGTAACCGATAAAGCAGATAAACTTATGATGCCACCTTAATGCAAGATTTTCCCATAAAATATTTGAGGACAGAGTCGGTGAGTCGAAATATTTTCTGCAAGTCGAATTACCCCCACAAATAAAAGGTTTTGTTGCCATTGCTCAACAGGTGGGCTGGTTAGAAAAAGGTGGTCCAGCAAGTGACTCTGTCATCCAGCAGCACTGAACCATCTAAAGGCATGAGGGAAGGCAAACCCTATGAATTGTCTCAGCTCTGGGCTGTGTGTAGATGCTGAACTAAATAATTCAACCATGATCCTAGGTCAGCTGAGGTGGAAATGAGTGGCACTGGGCTTTTGTAGTGACACAAAGCAACCGTGAGCAAAACTGGGCAAGCTTGGAAAACACATATTTAGATTATGAGGTTAATATGTTTTTTCATTGCGCAGCCACGGCTGAGCACTGTGGTCCACAGGTTTCCAGCAGCCCACTTCTGCCGCAAAGAGGTTCTCAGGCATCAGGGTTTTTTCCAGGAAAAGCTTCTCTGTGGGTGCAGCCTCACTGACTGCTCTAACTTTCTAAGCAAGAGCTGAATCCTCAAATAACGTTTGTTTTTATTTTGAGAGGCCAAAATTCCTTTTGCAGGTTCCTCTGGGGATGTGTGAGTCAGTGGTGAGACTCAGTTCCTGCGCTGCCTTGGTGCAGAACTCAGCGTCTGCAGAGAACTGTAGATGCAGCTGAACTTAAAGGTCTTATAACCCTGCTCTTTGTTAAGGATTTTTCTTGGGGGGAGAGATGAAATCAAGCCATTTCTGAGTCAGATGCATGCACTAGTGGCACATGAGACTTTTCGTAGTGGGTTTGTTGCTACAGCCAAAGTTTTAAATCTTCTGCAGATGTGGAAATTGTTTGAAGTCTTACTTGCTTATTGCTTTACAATGCTATGCAAAAAGTCTCTTCAAAGGCTCAACGATCAAGTTACTTGCTTAGGTTTTCCCCTCGTGCTAGATCGTTTTATTCTGCACTACTGCTGACAAATTCATACTGGAGTCTAAAACCTGGTGCAGCTTGAAAAGAGCCTGTAAAAACATGATAGGACAACATGGGGTTAACTTTCCCTGGGGAACGAACTAGCTATTATTTATAAAAGGGCAGGCCCTGATTTTCATTTATGTGGAAGCGCCTGTGTATAGCTCTGATAGTCAAAAGAAGCCACAATTTAAACGAGAATCAGGATGTTAGCAGTCATAATCGTTTTATACATATAAACAATTACAACAGGTTTAGCACAAGCCATGAATTGCCAAGCTGCAACGTCCAGCTCTTAAGTTTGATGCAAAGATTAGAAGTAACTAAATGGTTATTGCTAACCTAAAGTATTAAGAAATCATGGACCAGACCTCCAAAATCTTGAGGCTGTTCTTAAAATGTTGTGATTTGAAAGTATTCATTTGATATTTTAAAAAGAGTTCATTTGAGTTCACTTCATGTACCTTCTGCCTTTTTAGGCCATAGAAATCACAAAGTCCAGACATTTATTTATTTTTTTTTTATAAACAGAAGCTGAGATTTGGTTGTATATTTAGAGGACTACAAGGCCCATGACTCTAAGATGGCATGAAGTATCATGAGACTTGTGGTATGTGCCTTTGAGAGTTGGCAAGATGGTAAAGAACTTATTTTTATTGCCACAGTGGTTAAGAGATGACTCTGGGTATATGGAAGGAGCAGAACCTATTCAGTAAGGCAGAGCTCTTTTCATAACAAAACATTTCCCTATGTTTATGCTTGTAAAATGCAACAAGCATCAAAAGAAATGTGGGTCAAAGGAGGTTCGTAGCAGGGCAGTTACAGTTTTCGTCTTAAAGATGCAGCTTAGGTGATGGTAAATAGTGTTTTCTGTTGATAAGTGTAAAACTGCATCCCTGGCAGGTATTCACCACTGAACAGGGAGGCGACACGCAAGCTTTATGGTAGGGATTGAAATATCTGTCGTTCTTACCCTTTCCCTGAATGTTAGTTAAGCTTCCGAGAGACCCTCCTTTTCCCTTGTTTAAGCATAACCTACTGTTTATAGCACAGTAAAAAGCTGCATGGCACTTTGGGGATAAGAGCTGCTGTACACAAATAGATGTATAAGAGTCTGGGAACAATTTGGTGGTATTACACTTCTCTGTGTTGCAGGCTGCCTAGCACAGTCCTGTGCACAAAGTCTTCGAAAAGAAGGTCTTTGAACGTATATGTTCGCTTGTGCTGTGTGCTGCCCTTGCGTGCAGGAAGCGTTGCTGCCCGAGTGCTTCCACCATCTCTCACCAGCTCTTTTCAACCAGCCTGGTAGCACCAGAATAGGCATCAGTTTTGGGAGAGGCTTCAGAGAGCCAGGCTGGGGAACCAGCATCTCCAAAGCAAGAGCGAGACTAGAGGAATATCCCAAATGGGTTTCAATATGCCTGCCCAGGAAGAGAAGATTCGGGTCTAGGAGCAGTAAACCTCAAAACAGGGAGGGAGGCATGAAGTGTCAGGGTGTTGTGAGTGCCCAAGCGTATCTCCTTGGCTCTGTGTCTAACCTGCCAGCATATTTTGCATCTTTTCTTCTGCGTCGTCAAGAGTTCCACCATCATGCTTGCACTAACACAGGGAAGACAAAGAGATGTTGTAGCTCTTCTTGAGGGCTTCATTGCAGTGGGTGATGCAGAAGAAGAGAATACCCACCACTGCTTCCAGGTCTAAGCAGGGCTGATGTCAAACCTTTACTCATAAAACGCACCTGCGCAAGGCATGCGTACCATTTGTTGCTGGTGCGGTCATGAGGCATTTTCTCTCCTGGATCAATTTCCCTGCTTTCTTATGCATCATGTTAATGAAATCAAGGTTCCTTCTCGGAAGCGCGGTTTCTGAAACAGCCTGCAGTGCCCATCCCCAGCGCAGGTCTGACCTGCAGGAGGCCCGGCATACTTTGGCAGATGTTTACAACATGTCACCTTATAAAATCATGTGGAAAAGCCAGCGTTAATTCGTGTTAATGCCTTTTCTTTTTTGTGTTGCTGTTGGCTTTCAGCACGTGTGGAGCGAAAGCGAGGACTGCTTACCTTTTCTACAGCTTGCACAGGATTACATCTCCTCCTGTGGGAAAAAGACACTCCATGAAATATTGGAAAAAGTCTTCAAATCCTTCAGACCCGTAAGTGCCTTTTTTTTTTTTTACTTCTAAACATTGACAAGTTACCTGTGACTTTTAGCACTGGATAGCACTGGATGGAGCAAGGTGGTTTTTCTTCTGCAGGGACTTCCATCTCCAGTCAGCTGCATGGGCGCAGGGGTGTTAGTGCAGAAGTTGCTATCAGGCAATTGGAAATTGTTTCTTGGAAGCCAGCTGCCCTTTTATTTCCAGCTCTGCTTTTGAGAGGATGAGATGCCCGTGCGGGGTGGGAGGCCAACTGGTGTGGCAGCCGGTGGCAGCGGCTCCCCAGCTGCACAGGAGTTCCCGTCCTGCTGATGCAGCACTGACTCCAAGGAACGGGATGCGAGTCAACGCCGCAGGACTTTTTGTGGCAGAGTTATTCCTGGCACTGAAATTGGGGAGTTTTGCAAGGATGTGAGTAGCAAGAGTAAACCTCCGGGAAGCCAGAGAGAAATACAGTCTCTCCTCAGAATGGTTTGTTTTATTTTAGGGTTGGCTTTTGTTTTTTTCTCCCCTAGGTGGTCCAGCTTTTGCTGTTAGGGTGGTTGCCACTTGGTATTTGCAAATGCCACTTTGGTCACTGCTTGAGAAGAGGTTGGAGCAGAAGCTTGGTTTTGTGGGGAGGAGGCTTGTATTTTTCTGTTTTGCTGCTACTCAGCTTTCTCTGTCCTTGTTTAACACTAGGATTTGGGTCAGAGCCTGGGTTGCATCAGGGGGAGGTGACTTAGGCTGGCCGTTGTCCTTCATTTTTGTCAAATCCCTTTGCACAGCCTCTCCTTTTGAGTGCCTGGGGTTGGGTAAGGGGCTGGTGTGAAGCAGAGTGGAGGTTCATTACCAGAGCCGTGATGTCTGTGGGAAGGCTGACCAATGGGCGTTTTTACACTCAACTGAAAATGTAGACAGTTTTCCCTCCTCTGTTTTTCTGGCTGACTAATCGAGAAGACTGAAAATGTATCCCAAGTATTTAGAGTGGAAAGGAGGGCTTGGAGCTCTGATATGAAAACACCATCCCTCCCTGTGTTACACCCTTGCAGTGCCTTGCCACGGACCGCCACAGCTGGTCGACATAAAAGAGCATCGTTTTAAAGAAGCCTTTGAGAGACTGGAAATAAATAGAACAGATGCACACTTTTCTTAGAAAGGACTGGAAATCTGATCCTTCAGTACAGCTGCTTGTAATTGTGAAAACGTACAAATATATAAATATGTTTCCCAGAACAATATTCAGCTCTTGGATCTTCATAGCTGTTTTCTCCCACTCAGAAAAGCTGTGTCTTTGAGAAAAAACTTCCATTGGTTTACCTAAAGAGGACTTAAAAAAAGACTTAAATTGGTACAGATCACTTATTTCATTTAAACCACATTTATTTCAGCATAGCTTAAGTTGCTGAGAAATTGGCTTCAGTCAAACCAAGTTAAGCTACTGTTCAGAATAAAAAGGTTCAAAGCAGGGGGAACCATTACAGTAATTTAGTCTGGTCCCTTCATTAATACATCCCATATCAGCCCATGATTCCTACCACTGAGCAGATAAATTGTGGTTGAGCTGGAGCGTGTCTTTTCCAAAGACACCCAGTCTTGAGGTAGTCTTCAGGTGACTTAAAGGATACAACACTACTGGACGCTTTTTCTTCTCATCATTATTAGTTACACTCCTGTGAAAAACTCGTTTATTTACAATCTACTTTTTCTGGTTTTTGCTTCCTTGCTGTTGAATTTCATTATGCTTTTGTCTGCTGAAGAATGGCATCCTCAATTATCAGAGACCTCTTGCAGACTGTAATCAAGTGCCTCTTCATTTTCTCTTGGATGTACCACGAAGATTAAGTTTCTCAGATTCTCCTTTGACTTAGTATTGAGAGATTTGCATCAGTGTAACAGAACTGAGTTTGTCATTCGAGGGATGATTGTGGGTAGACAAGTCTAATAAGGAAGGTACTGATTTTTTCCCCTTATTGTAATTATTCAAAATAGCACATGCATGGTAGGATACATTTTAAAAAGTGAAAGGTGTTACAATAGATGTATGGAAACAGTTATTTTACACCCTCAGGCCTTTTGCCAGAATAAAGCCCCTTTTCGTCAGTATGGGGAAATTATT